GATGGATGGTGGTGGGGGGGGTGTAATAGTGTCATAATAAATAGTAGATAATTTGTACCTGTACGTGTAATAGTGTCATAATAAATAGTAGATAATTTGTACCTGTACGTGTAATAGTGTCATAATAAATAGTAGATAATTTTTTTAGTTCTTGGTAAATGGCTCCATTTTTCGATAAAATTTTATTAAATTACGAAAACAAGCTAAAAACGGAGAGGTGTTAGAATCCGTATACAAATCGATGTGGATCTATCTATCTATTAGTGACCCTTCTATACCTGTATACAGGTTTAACTGTGAGAACGTTACAAGTTTCATCTTCCCTCACACGTTTCCCTACGCAGGGTCGCTACGAGGTCGCTGTGCCTCTGTGTAAGCAAGCTCTGGAAGACCTGGAGAAAACAAGTGGACATGACCATCCAGATGTGGCAACCATGTTGAACATTCTCGCGCTCGTATACAGGTAGCGTAATGTTTATTTGTGTGCGGGTAGCGAGCGATCACCATGTTTAGTTTTTATTCCGATTTCTGTGATTCTTATTTCTTCATTCCTCTTCTTATTCATTTTGCCTTATTTCTTTACATTCTCCATTACTTGAAACGTGGAAGGCTAATATAACCTGCTCGTATTTCTTCATTCTTTATCTCATTATTTATTTCTTCCTTTTCTTTCACAATTTCTTATAATATAGAGATAGATTATAAGCTTTCTTATTTCTTCATTCCTTTCCTCATTAATTACTTAATTTCATTCTCTGTTTTTTTAAATTTAGGGTGATATCATAAGCTCTACGTTCACGACAACAAAGTCACAGTTATCATATTCATGAACATTTAAACTCGCGAATGAACGTGATCAGGAAACGTAAATGCGATCAGCACACGTAACATGTTTCTATCTTCTATTACATATGTCTATATCTATCATTCCATCACTCGTGCTGCATTCGCAGGGACCAGAACAAGTACAAGGAAGCAGCTAACTTGCTCAACGATGCGCTGGCAATCAGAGAGAGAACCCTCGGGGAGAGTCACCCAGCGGTAAGCTCCCCCCTCCATCGCGTTCCAGACGTCCGTAAAGAGTCTCATGACTTCTCTAGTAACCGTCGTCAAGTCTCAAGTTCGCATTATTCAAACAATTGAAATACCTTAGATGGACCATTTAGAGCATCTGGTCTATCTTTCTGTTGTATTGTTGCTATGGTTGGGGGTGATGGTTTGAAGTTGGTTTATATTTGGAAGCAGACGCAGTGTAAAGCTAGTGAGGTCGCCTAGCTATTCGTCCATTAGAAGGAAATACAATAGACACTATAAACGGTTAATTCCAACGCTTTGAAGGACTAGCACGCTATCTTTGTTCATGTAGAGCTACAGTTGTAGCGCTGTTGCTTACGCTGTTACTGGGCAGGTTGTGTGCCATTGCTGCAACATCAGAGATAGCAAAAACTGCAACAAAACTCTACTTTGTGCAACATATTCCGCATGCAAATGGTCGCAGACAACACGTGTTATTGTTGCGGTCGTAGGTTGCGGCAACGCTGAACAATCTGGCAGTGCTGTACGGTAAGAGAGGCAAGTACAAGGAGGCAGAGCCACTGTGTAAGAGAGCACTGGAGATCCGAGAGAAGGTAGACCTTCGTCGTCATCATCGTCTTCTTCTTCTTCTTCTTCTTCTTCTTCTTCTTTTTCTTCTTCTTCTACTGCTTTTTTTTTCTTCTTCTTCTTCTACTGCTTTTTTCTTCTTCTCCTCTTCCTCCTTACTCTTCGTTTCCTTTTCTTCTCATTCTTCTTTCATAAGTACTAGGATTACTACACTTGGTAGTAAGAGCACTAGATGATTACTGCCGTACATGAATACTGATACAGCACATCCCTGCACATCCCTGTACGTTGTAGTATCTACAGGAAACATGTATTTCAAGTACATTCAACTACAAGTCGTTCATGTACCCCAAAACCCCCAAACGCAATATTCACGTTTAGCATATGTTGCCCGAAAACAAGCAATGCATGTTTGCCAACGCGTAGGCTACCCGTTTGATTGCACGGGCTATAAAACGGGGCAAAAACGCCCCTAACCTAAGTTAGCAGAGGTTCGGATGCGACACCTCGTGTGTTTAATGGCAGGTGTGGGAAGATATTCAACCTGTCCATTATTTCAACGTTGCGGTGTGTCGTGCTGTTGCAGGTGCTTGGTAAGGACCACCCTGATGTAGCAAAACAGCTGAACAACCTGGCTCTGCTCTGCCAGAACCAGGGCAAGTACGACGAGGTAGGCATGCTGGTCTAACCGCTGTAATCCAACAGCGCATACGTGGCTCCTATTATTATATTCACTACCTCACTATTATATTCCTATACTCACTATTATATTCACATACCTCGAAACTTGCGATATCTGTCGGATGCATGGAGCCAGTTATATTATGTCGTTTGCCTGGTTTCTGTGAATGCGATTGAAATTGTGGGTTCAATTGCAGTGGTTTGGTTAGTTAAGGTTTTTTGCAATTAGGGTAGATGGGTAATTTCTCGACCATTTCTTTGCATGAACTGTTATCGTCTTGGCTTACAAAGCGTTTGATTCCATCATATTGTCCAAGGTAACGTCCAACCAACTCTGCAAGTTCTCTCTCCTTATGTTCTGTTGCTAACGGGATTCACTGTTCACCGGTGACATGTGATGCTCAATTGTTTGTTGCAGGTTGAATACTACTACCAGAGGGCGCTGGAGATATACGAATGCAAACTAGGGCAGGATGATCCTAACGTCGCCAAGACCAAGAACAATCTGGTGCGTGGGTTTCTGACACCATCCGTGCAGTGATGGCAAAGAAGTGGTGCTTGTTTCTTGTCACAGTCATAGAAATTAACTTTTTATTGAGATAATCTAGCAGACTCACTGACTCCACGAAGAGGGAATCCACAGCAAAATTTTGTGTCTGACGTTCAAGATTTATGATAACGATAATGCGTGAATAATAACTGCAGGAGTGACGTCAATTTTATAGTATTATATGATAATTTGATTCTGTCCATTAGCACAGAATGCCATTAAAAATGATTGACTGTCTCCCAACAGTTTTAGTAACACGGCTTGGCAGTTATACAGTTATCACAGACTATAGATGTAGTCTATGCATGAGGTGCGTGCGTGCGTGCGTGCGTGCGTGCGTGCGTGCGTGCGTGCGTGCGTGCGTGTGTACTTACACGCAGTAACATGTAGCGGCTAAGCGTGTGCTACCTGCTGCAGGCGTCGGCATACCTGAAGCAGGGCAAGTATAAGCAGGCGGAGATTCTCTACAAGGAGGTGCTGACCCGCGCGCACGAGCGCGAGTTTGGCTCGTCCGATGGTAAGCTGTCTAGATACCTACACATCTCTAGTCTCCGTAATAGCTCATCTAGTGTCGTAGTCTACGATGGTATCTGTCTAGACATCTAGTAAATGCTGTCGCAATCTACTCGTCCTGGCGTGACTGCCATGCATGAGTGCTATCTACTCTCATATTTAGCATTACAAGTATTACAAAGTTTTGAGGGAAACACTGGTAGTGGATCATGTAAAGGAGCAAAGGTTTTTTTAGATCCATTTCATAATTCGAATCTCGTCTAAAATAATTCAATTAGATTTCAATGTGCTCAGATGATAGTTAATTATTGGCTAATTCTGTTTTAATCTCATAGTAATGTGAAGTAATTGTAATTTCTCATTTGTTTTTAAAAGTAGAGCACAAACCCATCTGGAAGGTGGCAGAAGAGAGGGAAGAAAATAAGGTACGTTGCCACCGAGTGTTTTATGAGAATATCGTGTCAAGTCACGAGTTATTGCTTATAACACTTTAATATGCTACTTATGTATACATCATCATCTTATGCCTCATAGTTGGCATGAACGTATGTGCAATGTATGAAGGAAGTAATTCAAACGTAAAGTTGGCTCGTGTCCCAATTTGTCATCTGTCGTTATCACAATTTTTGTATTGATTTTCTGGTGATAGATTTGGATTCCAGTTTCCAGTTCCATTTCCTGTTGCCAATATCAGAATCTGAGTGACATATATACACAGTGGACAGCCTTTAGTTATTATATATATATATATATATATATAATATTATATGTATAACATGTAAGGACATACATACATGTATAGTAAGTAGTACCTTGTGCTTACAGGGCAAGAACAAGGAAAACACACCATATGCTGAGTATGGCGGTTGGCACAAGGCTGCTAAGGTTGACAGGTAGGAATATATATATATATATTAATTCATGTGTTGTCTCGATCCCTATGCACCGAACGTGTGGCATTCCTCTTAGAAACTGTTGTGCTGTATGTGTAATTGTATCCCCCGCGACGAAGTCGGCGGGGATACTTTGGTTTCATGTCTGTCCAGCCGCTCGGCGGCGCCGCAGACACTTTCCCTTCCGCTCTATAACTCGACCCCTAATTGACCTAGCATGACCAAACTTGATATGCTTACACATCTTGGGGAGAATGTGTGTCGCGTACCAAAACCACGTCACTGCGGCTTTTATTTGACCTTGACCTTGACCTTGACCATATTTCCCTTCCGCTCTATAACTCGGCCCCTAATTGACCTAGCGCGACCAAACTTGGTATACTTACACATCTTGGAGAGAAGGTGTGTCGCGTACCGAAACCAGGTCACTGCAACCTTTATTTGACATTGACCTTGACCTTGACTTTCATCATATTTCCCTTCTGCTCTATAACTCGGTCCCTAATTGACCTAGCGCGAGCAAACTTCGACTTACACATCTTGGGGAGAAGGTGTGTCGCGTACCAAAACCCCTAAGGCAACCAATTTGATCATACTTACACATCTCAGGCAGATGAGTTGTGTAACAAACCTTTGTCTTTGTGACTTATTTAACTTTACCTACCTTCTACGTCCTTACAGAGATATTTCATTCATACTAGATCACGGGGGATACATGTAGTTGGAGACAACTGCCCTTTCTAGTTATTTATATGTAAAGTGTATGTGGGTCACTGCTTATATGTGCTAGTGATATTCATTTGTGCAAGACTCAAGTACAGTCTTCTGAGAGATGGGGCTGATGGGAAAACCATGTTGGAATATGGGTTGGAATTTCAGAAAAGCTTGTGTAAAAAAGCACAGTTTGTCGTCAGATTTCCCCAACTAAACACTCACAATAAAAATGCGCAAAAAAGCGCAGTTAACAACGAGTTGCAGGCAAAGACCAAAACCACCTCAACCTCTCTTTATAAGGTTTGCATCATGATTTGGGCTGATGGATGCTCTGTTGTTTCTAGCCCCACAGTGATGACTACGTTGAAGAACTTGAGCGCCCTCTACCGCCGGCAGGGCAAGTACGAGGCAGCGGAAACGCTGGAGGATTGTGCCATGCGCTCCAAGAAGGAGGTATGTTTACATCCACATGATGCGTAGTAATTTATTTACATAACGTTTAATCGATGAGCTCTCGCTGGTGGCGTTTTGATGAAATATCTAACGGTTCTCTCTCTCTCTCTCTCTCTCTCTCTCTCTCCCTCCTTCCTCTATCCCTCCCACCATGCCTCCTCTTTCTCCCCTTCTCCCCCTCCCCCTCTCTCGTGGCATTACAATGAGGTATCTAACAGTTCTCTTTCCCTCCCTCCCTCCCTCCCTCTCTCTATGTCTTTCCCTCTCCGTCCCTCCATCCCTCTCTCTCCTCTCCCTCGAGGCGTTGGGATGAGGTATATAATGGATCTCTCTCCCTCTCGCCTCTCTCTTTATATCTAACAATTCTCTCTCTCTCTCCCTCCCTCCATTCCTCCCTCTCCCTCTCCCTCTCCCTCTCCCCCCTCTCTCGTGGTGTAGCGATGATGAGGTATCTCACTGTTCTCTCTCTCTCTCCCTCCCTCCATTCCTCCCTCTCTCGTGGTGTAGTGATGATGAGGTATCTCACTGCTCTCTCTCCCTCTCCCTCTCCCTCTCCTCCCTCTCTCGTGGTGTAGTGATGATGAGGTATCTCACTGCTCTCTCTCTCTCCCTCCCTCCATTCCTCCCTCTCTCTCTCCCTCTCTCCCTCTCTCTCCCTCTCCCTCTCCCTCTCCCTCT